GATAGTGTGCAAACAAGTGCTCTTTGGTACCTGCTTCGGCAACCAGATCTTGCTCTTTGCGGGATCTCACAAACCGCTCAACTTCGTCGTCGGGATCATCACCTTCGTCGATGCCTTCGTCATGAACTGGCGCAGGCGCTGGCTTTGATGCTGCTACTGCACTCAACGATGGCTCAGCTTCACAACTAGAGTCCATGTATGGCACATGACCGTCAACCTTGAGCTGGATCAGAGCACCGTCAGGGCGAACCATGGTTGGTGCCTTCCCGGATTCCCAATGAAAGGAATATCCTTGATCCAGACACTTCACACCCAGCGACAGCACTGCGGGAGAACTCTCGAGGATGTAAGGCTGAGCAGGCTCGCACAATGCATCGACATTGATGTCGGCGATCTCGGAAGCAGTGATGTTTCCGTTTGCAGTCACAAGGCGAATAGGCTGCGGAGCCTGTTTTCGGATTGCCTTGGACGCATTCCTCAGTGCAGCCTTGCTGATGAGGTCCTGCTCACTACCGGAATCAATGAGCCACACATCCTTTCCCTTTGGGGCAGGGGTGGCTGCCCTTGGCGCTTCGACATCCTTGCGAACATCGTGAGGCGGCATGGCAACTCTCAGGCACTCATCACACGATAGGCTTGAGATGGAATCAGATTCCACATCGCACATGAAACCGCAAGCGGGCTGGGCTCCATTCTCCATGGCTTTGACTACGGCATTCAACTGATTCGCGGCCTTGCGCGCTGCCTTGTTAGTCCCTTTGGTCGGCCTGGGGCAGTCCTTGGCACTTGGAAACATCCTATTGTACTGACGTTCCTCATACTCAAGCTTGAAACCATCGCCTTCGGCGGGGATTTCATGAACATGAGCATTGGTGTCGAATGACACTCCAATTGGGTTGATCGGCTTTGCGAACATGGCGTACCTGGTGCAGACTGCAGCGGCTTTGGCCTTGGGCTTAGGCTTAGGTGAATTTGCACGCTTCTTAGCCGCAGGATTTGCATTGGCCTCGCTGCTCGATGCCGCGGCGGCAGATTTGCCGCCCGTGGAGGCATGGCTAAACTTGCATTTATCACCTCTCGTGCACTTCCCTTGGGCAAAGAAAGAACACGGTGCTTTCTCTCCTTTACCGCCTTTGGGGGAACTTGGCCTGCCGCGGGTCGCGGAGCGTCCTCGCGGCTCCTTGCGGTGCGCGTAAGGGCAGTTTGCCCCCCTCGTGCACGAGCCCTTCTGGAAGTCAAAACAGTACTTCTCCTCGGTGTCCTTCGGCTTAGGTGCGCTCTTTTTCTTGGGGTCCCTCTTTTCAGGAGCGGCAGCACCAGCCTTGGGCGTCGGGGCTTTACTGGCATTGACCTTGGACACGCGCTCTCGGTTCTCGCGAAGCCTATCCCTCTCGATTAGATCCCTCATGCAACGCATTAGGAAATCGTACGATTTATTGGGATCATCATCACGGCAACGATCATATGTGTCGATGTCGTACCGCAACAGATGGCAGCTTCTCACTTGGCGAAGCAAGATGTCTTTCAACACCTTTTCTTCCGGCGGCTTTTTCATGCCGGCGATCACGGAATCCCAAGCATTCAGGAAACGCTTGAGATCGATGATTCCTTCGCCGTGTCGCGAGACACGCAACAGGTCCTCCAAGGAGTAGAGGTTTCCGGCTTCTTCACTGGTCTTGAAATATTGGTCAAACATAAACAAGACCTGCCTTCCTCTCATGGCCTTTCCCTCCTTGGCACATTCTTCCTTTGCTGTTAGGATTCGCTGAGCCAGATCGCCTTTCGCTGAACGCGTGAGCGCTGCGAGAATCTTCGTGTCTAGGGTCACGAATTTTCCCGGTTCGCCGAGCTCCTCCAACAGCTTCTTCTTGTCCTCGCGATCAGACCAGACTTCCATGATCCAAGGCCAAGCCTCGTCTGGACGGTCAGATGCGGCGCGGACATCCTCACGAACCGATGTTTTCCATTCACGGTACGTTTCAGGAGTTGGCATCTCCTTGAATCGCAACGTCTCGCTTTCGCGGGTTCTGGGCTTTTCATCGTTCGTGTGGCCTTTTACTAACTTCATCAACATTTTGGCGAATGCTTCTTGGCCGAGGTTAGGCCCAAGGCCATCACCTTCGTCTTCATCACCATCGCCATCGCCATCATCATCAGGTGGCGGACCGCCGGGAGGCTTACCACCCTGCTTGCGGTCAGTTGACATTGGCCCCTGAGAGAATTGCAGGGGTGGGACCGGTGCACTTGTTTTCACTGGGGATCGGCTGCTACCTGATGGCTTTTCAGCTGGTCCTTGCGGATCGCGAGCATCTGCGGGCAGTGCTTCGCATTCGGCAGTTGGAATCACGCTAGGGGTATATTCATCCCCGTAACCGTCATAGGTAACAAGCGACCTCAACTTTTCCTTTGCATATTGAAACGGATGGGTCAACGGGTCCAACATTGACCTTTGGGACCGAGCTGACTTCATGTCGTCGGTCATCAACTCTGGTGAATCCTCTCGGGTATCACCTACCCCTTTGGGCTTCGATCCATCCTCGCGGAGGTCGTGTTGCTTCTGATACTTCTTCAGCTCATCAAGCTCGTCCTGCAGAAGCCCGTTTTGGTGTGCCATCATGTCAACCGTTCTGGCGTGTGTAGCCTCGACACGGGCTGTGTCATCGGCATGCTTGGCAGCTTGCTCATGGAGGAGCTGCTGGGCTTCAGCCAGGGTGGATTCGATGGCTTGCCTAAACTCAGTTGTTTTGCGTCCCATTTCCGCTTCATGCAATGCTTGGGCATTTTCCTCACACACTTGGCTTATCCTAGCTTCAGCGAAGTTCACTTCTTGCATGAACTCATCGCTCACTCGCTGTTCGTATTCACGAATCCTATGCGACTGGGCTTGCACACATTCAGCGTAGTGTGCATGCAGCTGATTCTGTGCGGCACGGAGCTCCTCACGGTTTTCCGCTTGCAAATGCGTTACAGCTGCTTGATGCAGGGCTTCGGCTTCAGACCTAATGGCTGCATCATTCCCAAAAGCAAAGATTGCGGTATTGTACAGTTGAAGGGAATTCATCAGGGTGCGGTTGTATTGCGCATTAGCGCTTGATGCGAACATTCGCACACCGCCGCCGGTGGCGTTGCCGGAGCTAGCTCCGGCAGCATCCACAGGCATGCTGGATCCATCAACTGGCACAAGGGAACCGTCCATTGCTTAGAGCTAGGGGCCTACGGCTGATAACCTATAGATTCAAGGGTTACCGGTTTGGGGCCCAAAAGGAAACAACAAACCGTCCAAGTGCGCTGCTCGCACATTTTCACGCTTGAACAGCCACACTGCGGATGCAATGGATGTAAAACCCCAAACTGACCGATCAAATTCTTCACATTGGAGGGTCCAGGTACCCTTCAGGTAAGGGTAAATTCCAATTCCATTCTCTTCACCACTTCTTCACCCATCGCTCTGTTTAGAAATCACCCGTCTTTCCACGGGTTTGGCCCAGTTGAAGAGAAGGATCCTGGAAGAAAATGGGGAAGGTACCGCTGGAATTGTTTGTTGAAAACTCAATTTCAGGTGAAGACAAGCAACGCTTGTTTCGTGGACCTAGCCCTGAATAGTTGGTGCTCCAAGAAATTACAACCACTTGGCAGTTGGAAGAGGGTATGGGTGTGCGTGTGTGTCTGTGTGTGTCCAAATAGGGGACCAATCCTGCAGCTTCAAACGACTAGACAAAAGTAGGTGTTTTGGCCATTGTATTGCTTTTGCCTGTTTCGTATCGTATTTACCGCAAAACGATTAAGACGCCTAGAAATTTGAATCATTGGGTGTTTCCTTCTTGCACAGGGCTTTCTCTCTCATTCAGCTTGATATTGCCCACTACACCAGATGTTCGAATCTTCAGAAACTTCTAAACAAATCGAATCCTTCCCTCCATCAACACCCTTCAATCCTAGCTGTGCGGGGGAGTGGTGCGCAAATCGGAGCAAGTTTTGTCTAAACATGCTTCGAGTGAGAAACGCACTTTGTTCGTACCACTTTTGGCCGCAAAACGAGCGCAAAAACCCGCAAAACGCCCGCAAAAACCCGCAAACGAGCGCAAATCCCAAAAAGTGGGTCAATTGGTTGTTTCATGCACTGCCCGCTCAAAAGCATGCCCTGATCGGGCACCGATGTAGGGTCATGCTTGCAACGGGAAATGCAAGCACTGAGAAAGGAAACTATATATTGATATGAGGTCAGATCTTGTTGGCTCAAATATCCTCCCAAACGGCCAGCAGCACGTTAGACGCCGGCCTTCGTACTAGTTTTCCAGCGGTTCGTACTAGAACCCCCAGTTTTCCTCCAATCGTACCCATTACCCAAAACGCCCAGAAATTTCTGGGTGTTTGAATCTCCAGGTAAAATCATTAGTTGTGTCCGATTGAATTTCATTTAAACCACCCTAACGAGGGTACCCTCAAACAACACAAACGCGTATATCGCCCCAAGCAGAGTGGTTTGGGGGCACGCTCCCAACATGGAACTAGGCAGGTGCCGTGGTTGAAGGGTACGATCTCTCCCCCTGAAAAGTACCACCGGTGTTTCTCCAAAAATGTAGAGCCACCAAAATTGAGTGGTTTTCCCTGATTCCCTCATGCAAATTTGTGACAAGCTTTGCGTCTGCCTCGCAAGGCGGGAACCCCGGGTGCCAGATCCCCGACGTGGGGTGAGCCAAGTGGGTGCGTCATTTTAGTTGTGGGAATTCCCTTTTCTTGTGGTGTTCATAAAGTCTGGGGGGTGGGACCCCATGCCCACGCAAGGGAAAAAACAATCATTTGCCACAAGGATTAGATCTTGGAGCTCCGATCATCCCTTTCATTTGCTGAAGCCCCCAGTCACAGATTCCCTTTCACACAAAAAGGGGAAATATATATATATATATATGTAAATAAATCTTAAGCAAATGAAAGAACAAACAACAAAAACAACACGAGCCCAGCAGACGATGTTCCGTCGACTCGAGCCGATGCCTCGCCTGCAACGCCTCGTCCAAGGTGTGGGCTGCGATCAAGCCGTCCGCGCCCACCGGCAGCAGGTTCACCGCGTCCTGAGCGCTGGCTGCTCCCCTTCCTCCGGTAGCTGGGTGTTCTCCTATTTGTGTTGTGGGTGTGTTGGAGACAGGTTTTTTGTTGTCGTTTTTGTTTTTCCCCTGAGAGTTGATGCGGGCGTGCCTTCTTAGGGTATCCTTTTGGTAGGTTCCCCGATTTCTGTTCGAGACATGCCTTTTTTTCTGAAGGGTATCGGTTTTTGGTAGGTTCCCCGAATTTGTTTGAGAGCTGTATGTATGTATGTGGGTGCGCCTTCTTAGGGCACCCTTTTCGAAAATTGAGACATGCCCCTTTTTCTGACTGGGAAAGAGCCACAATTTGCCGGCATGATATTCCTCTCCCGCGAAACAGACACAACAAAAGCAGGCATGCTTCTCCCCCTTTGAAAATATGAAGGAAAAGACGGCACCTCCCCAAAAGCCTCCCCCGTTAAACAAAAGGAAAAACAGGCTATGCTTGCCCTCCCTTTAACAATATGAAGAAAAAGATGGCACTTCCCCAAAAAGATGAAGAAGCAAATGAAACTCCCTTCAAAAGCCGATGAACAAAAGAAGGCACTTCTCCCCCAAAAACAACACCCTCCGAAGAAACAAATGAAACTCCCTTCAAAAGCAAATGAACAAAAGAAGGCACTTCTCCCCCCCCAAAAAAAATGCGAGAAAACAAAACAAAGAAACAAAAAAAACAACGCGCCGCGAAAGGCGTCGCGTTTCCAAAGATCCTGGACATCGCTGGCCGAAAAGTTGGCGATCCGCAGCAGGCGCCCACGCAGGGCATCGGGGCTGTGGGGCTGCAGCAAGGCCTCCAAGGGACTGGGAGCAGTGGGTAGGACTCACTGGCGACAGGACATGGAAGTAAGGTTGTGACCATCGGTTTGGGGAAAAATCGAGGGGGTTCCCGCATGGAAGTATAAGCACCTTTTTGGAGCCTTGGCTAAATATGGGTGTGGTCTTTTTGGGACCATCCCCTTGTTGGTTGGTGTTCAACGGGAAACCAACATGAAAAGAGTTCCCTAAAAAGCGAAAAACCTTGTGGACCAAATCAAAGAAACCAACCGGTTAGAGGGTCGACTCGCTTTGGGCAAGTGGGGTTTACAAGGAAACCAACAAAAACTCATTCTTGGCTCATTCCTCGATGATTCCCAATTTGAGTACGCTAGGTCAAACCAATTCATGTTTCCTTCCGCTTCTGAAATCCCATCCCTGAGGTTGGTTCCTTTCTGATTTCCGTTTAACCAGCGGGTCCCCAAGCACCCATTTACCTTTAAATAGGAGTTGCAGGTTGACAAGAATGAGCCTTTAAAGTTCAAGGCTTGTAGCTGGAATCTAGGACACTGATTCAAAATCAGAATCGGAACCCCTGAAATGGCAGTCGGATTCCTTCCGGTTTCCTGTTCGGGCACACCTTCCCTGACCATTGCGGAAAATAACCTCTGTGATGCCTGCTTGATCATTGATCACGGGGATTTCCACCCTGCTGGTGCTTAGCAACTGAGGGAATGAGCCTGAACGAATGGGTAAGCCCCCTTCTGACTTCTTGGAGCCACTGCTGGACGAGGGCCATTTTGGTATCTCTCTTTCATCGGGATGTGGTTCTCATTTTGGTTTCTCTTTGAAACCACCTAGGTCCTCCAGTAGAGAGCTTAGAATAAGGGTGCCAACTGTTTTTCTGTAGTCTACCTCCCCCAAACAAGGGTGAGAAAGGGCACCTAGCTGGGAGACCTAGACACAGAAAAGGTACCCTCAAACAAAGACACGCCCATTGGCCTCCTGGGAGTGTCTCAAGATGGACGCGTCCCTTTTGCGAGCACCCCGCAAAAGGTACCAGGACTCGGCGTCAAATGAGGGAACTACACAGTTGTCCCACCCCTATCGAAATGGGTATCGTTTCAAAAGCTAAAAACAGAAGTCGGCGGCTCGCCTTTTCCCAAAAATCTACAAGTCAAACCTGCACAGGAACCGGTCCCCTTAGGAAAATGGTCTTCCAGGAGCCGGTTCCTGTGGAGCTTCGATTTGTTCATTCTCGCCAGGTTTGTTCATTCGCGGGTTCTAAAAAAAAAAGAAGCCCTAAGGATCCCAACTCTTTTCGGGGCGTCGTTTGGCATTGGGCCCCCAGGGACAGAATGGCGAGGGGCCATAGAAACACGACCCCTCGTAGCGAGGGCCCCGGCTGCTCGGCGTCTGCAAGCACTATCGATCATTCAATAACAATCGCTTTGACAGTTATTGGCCCGCACTGTGATGATTCCTTACATGCTCTCCGAATAAATGACAGTACGTGGGAAGTATTATTTTTTTTAGATTGGTATTCATATTGCTGACATTTCGTCTCTACGGGCACATTGTTCAACAGAATGCCAAAAGTTTTCAATGGACTGCTGCTGTGCCTTAGATGTCGATGAACGCAGGTCGACTCTTAGTCTTATATTCAATCTTGCACGAGAGGGTAATTCCACCGTCCTGGCCGGCAAACAAAAGATTCAGTTGCCACGGACAAATCGGTAAGCCCAAGTATTTCCTAGCAAACACAGATCTCGGACGGCTTTCCGACATCTGCTTTCCGACGGCGTTCTCACTCATGCTGGCATTCCGCGGTTTCTGAACCTGTCCGACGGCTTTCCGGCGGCTTCCCGACGTTTCTGACGGCTTCCCGACGTTTCCGACGGCTTCCCGACGTCTTCCTGACGTTTCCGACGGCTTCCCGACGTTTCCGACGGCTTCCCGACGTGTCGGACGGCTTCCCGACGTTTCCGACGGCTTCCCGACGTTTCCGACGACTTCCGACGGCTTCCCGACGTTTCGTTTCCGACGACTTCCGACGGCTTCCCGACGTTTCGTTTCCGACGGCTTCCCGACGTTTCCGACGGCTTTCCGATGCTCGGGCCCTCGCGGGCCCTCGGTTTGCCTAGTTTTGAGGGCCCAAGCGTTAGCTTCCCGACGTGTTTCCGACGCCAGAACTTGACGCGCGCCGTTCTAATCGGCACCCAACTGGCCCATAAATACAAACTGTGACTTTACGTCATTGCAAGCCAATAGCAGCGATAGCGCGTAACCAAAGGAATTTTGCACGGCTCATGGGCCTGTCAGACACACACACAGACAAACAAGCAAAGTCAGCAACCTGTTGGCAAACACGGGATAACACGGGACTTCTGCCAAGAAGCTGCGAAATACCAAACAAGTGAAGACACATCACCAGCCCACAAGTACATCCGAAACAACAGGTAACGCGTTAGCGATAACACTGTGGACTCAAGCCGCCCAGCCTTCATCCATAGCGCCTGGCCTTTTTTAGAGTTATCTGAAAAACAGAATTTTGTTCTGCGCAGGAGTGTCGTTGCGGCCAGTGGCCAGTTGGGTTGCAGACCTTGTCGCGTGCGCTCGTCGTCAGCAGGGTATTTAGGCCGGACCCTTTCAATGCACATCCCGACCCTTCCAACGCACATACCAAAGAGCCTTAGGGAGAGAAGAAAACCAAAGAAGACCCAACTTTGTCGGGTTGTATAAAAAGAAGAAGAAGAAGAAGAAGACCCCCCAACTTGGTGGCTCCCCACCCGAAAAAACGGGTCTGCAACCAAATTTTCTCCCCTCTCGCGCCTCTAGGTCCTCCAGAGCTCCGCGGAAGCTGAGCAGCGCGCGGCGCATGGATTCCAAGAGGCACCGGGAACGGAGATCCTTCCACTGCTCCTCGCGCCCCGCCGACTCTCTCTCCCGTTGAACTTTGGCGGTGGGTGACTCTCTCTCTCGTTTTGTCCCCTTGAACTTTGGCGGGTCAAAAAAAATGGGCACCGGAAATGGCTTGCCCTTGCCCTGGGAAATGGATTTCCCTGGTAATATCCAAAAATGGGCCGGGGGCGCTTGTGGAAGGCAAACCCATGTTGCACGGGTGACAAGGGTAGCCTACATGGGTGTGTCCTAAAATAAGAGCCCCATGTGGTTGTGGGTCAAAAAAATGGGTACCCAAAATGGCTTGCCCTGGTAAATGGAACCCATGACTAAAACAGGCGGTCCCCTGGTGGATTAATTTTGACCCACACCCATTTGGTTCCGTCAGAAAATGGCTTGCCCTGGTAAATGGAATACCCTGGTAATAACCAACAGGGAAAAGAACAGCCGTTTCAGCAAATGGAAGCCAACCAAAGGGGCCCGAACTCCATCTTTCTCACGTCACTTGAGGCGGCCCCTCTGTTAGGGAGTCAGTTTTCAGAGACGCCGCATGTTTTCCTTGTTCGCGCGGAAACAAAATATCATCCCAACTAGGTCCTCCAGTAAAAAGGTTAAAATAAGGGTACCCATTTTGCTGTAGTCTATTTTTAGTAGGGGAACCTTCCCAACCAAAAAAGAAAGGGGAAAAGAAAGGGCACCAATTGCCTGGGGGACCTCGCCAACGGGCTCCGAAAAAAGCTCGGGCCTGGGGCGTAAAGAGCTTGGCCACCGGAGTGTCCAGCCACAGCAGGCGGGCGCGTTGGCGCCGCAGCCGCAGCAGCTCCTTCGGCGCGGGTGAGAAGAACGGACGCGCTGAAGGGTTGCGCTTGGGTGTTTCTCAAAACTTGGCCGGATTTAGGACCCCAGCAAAAATATATATATATATATATATCTTTTTTGCCTGGTTAGTGGAAAACAAAGGGAACCACAAAAAAGCAAAAAGGGCAGCTAATTCTGGGGAAGAATATAGGGGTCCCCCCTTTGGGGATGGTTTGAAGAAATGAGGACACCAAACGGAAGCCCACCTGAAAAAAGGCGGTTCTCGAAGTAGGGGTCGCCCATTTGGGTGTCTTTTTTGGGGGAAACCGCCTTTTTCGATGGCCGTCAAATTAAAACCTAAAAGGAACACAGCCAGTTTGGAGGCTTCTGGAAAAACAAACACGCCCTTTAAAATTGTTTTCAGAGGAAAACGAGGACACCAAAAGGAACCCACCTTGAATGGGTCCCTGATGCCCTGAAAATAGGGCTCCCCTTTTAGGGATGGCTTGAGATAAATGAGGACACCAAAAGGACATTCATCTGAGAAAGTCCCCAGTTTTTTGAGAATCACACATTTCACTACCTCTTAATCCCGGTTGATTTCCCCAAAGGGAACTCCTGTTTGTTTTCCTCTTTTTTTTTCTTTTTCGGGTGATCCAAAAATGGCCCTCTGCCCTAAATACTGGAGACTTGGACCAAATGGATGCCTCGACCCGCCTCCTTCGCGAACATTTTTGGTCGCAGAAATCTGCTCGGAGTGGACGGACACCATCCGCTTTGCACCCGCTGGTAGGTCGTTCTTACCGTTTATGCCTGGATGTACGGGAGTTCATCCATTCCATGCAATCTAATACTCACTTGCCCAAAGAACCCAGAAATAAAAGGTTAACCTTTTGGGGCCATGACTAAAACTAGACCAAAACGAAAAACCAAAAGGTCAAAAGGTCGGCTTTGGGCAACTGAGAATATGGCATTTGGTCCATAGAGTGTGTTTTTTTTGGGGAGAAGGGGCCCTCTGGTTCCGGGCGCGAACTCCCTGCAAAAAAGGGTTTACCTCAGGTCACCGAAAAGGGAATCAGGTCCTCGGGAATCGGGAAGCTGTATCGGATGTGTCAGCTTCTTTCTAACCTAGGTCCTCCAGTAGAGAGGTTAGAATAAGGGTGCCAACTTTTTTTGTAGTCTATGTTACTGGGGGTTGGTCGTTTGGTGGTTAAGCACAGCTTCCCAAATCCAAGCCACCAATCCAAACAACACCAATTCGTGGATACCTGGATCTCCTTCTGGTCGCTCTTGAAACAGAAGAGATCACTTTGGACCCGGGTCTCTGCAATATCTCCAGGTACGGGCCTTCATGTCTGAGAGTTTGTGGACAGCCCCGAATTGGTGCTGAGCTTGATTTGCCAGTGGCAAGCCCATATAGTAGGTAACCAGCTAGTTGTTGTGGGTTAAAGGGCGGTTCCCTTGGTTACCTACGAAACCAGGTAAATGGATCCACTGGGTGTTGGACCCCTTTCGGATGGCTTCCAGAAACTTTAGAACCTGCGCGGTATCGGCTTGCAAATAACTTGTTGTTGTTTTTGCAGCCCCCTGCTAACTCAAAATATTCTCAACAAAAACATCCTCACAACTTGATCACACCAGTGAGGGAATTCCATAAGGACGCCAGACACTCTGTCTTGGATTTCGTGGGACGCACCTCATTCTCTTTCCAAGAAATTTCCTACATTTCCCAGTCACAAGGTCCCGGTGACGCCATCGACTTGGTTTCATCCATTGTTTTAAAGGGGGCCATATGATTTGAACACCATCACCTGAGTAATCATCAAAAGCTGGAACCAGCCACATCTTGGGTAGTTAGACAATTTTGCTTCGGATTATCTTTCACATTTAGTCTACAATACTAAAACAACATGGAGGAGACCCCAGGAAATGGGTAGCTTCCATTTGCCAGGGCCAGCCATGTTGAGGTTACCCTATGGTTGACGTCCACCGCCAAAGAGAGAAGCTGACTCGGAAAAGTGTCGAAGTACCGTCTCACCCGTCCTCGAACCAGGTTTGCCGGAGGTGTAGCGGCACCTAGCGAGGGAGCGTGGGTTATAACCCCAAGGTAGTGCTTGTCGTGGCCAAAGTAATTATTGTATGTCCACACGTTTCCATAGGCCTTCATCCTGTGTTCAATACGGTTGAACCTTTACGCTTGGATAATAAGTCCATCGCTATTTTGCAAATAAGTCCGAACGATACCAACAGTGTGTTGTTTAACACCATCTTGTCAACCATTATTTAAACGAAAAAATAGCACACACACTTGCTAGTGTAACATGTATGCCATTAAGTAAAGTTCATGAACAAATTAAAGAAACACAATAGAGACATAATGCTAACAATTAATTTACTAAAAATGTCAGAATAACTATTAAAACCATCATTTGCACAAACTATCATGTCTTCTATGTTGGCAGTAGATAACATTGCAGGAATGATACTTGCTGAAAGAGAACAGACTAAACTAAACATCGGGATAATAATTGTAAATAGCATGCATACCTGAAAGGAAATTGTAATTGTACTACAAACTGATGCCAGTATAACTAACATGTGACACCACGTTGAATCTTGTCTTGTTGTATCATATGTTGTTTTGAGCCTTTGATATGCATAAACATTCCATGTTGATACGAATCATACTATATGAATCAAGTATGGTATTAAATGAAGCATTATCCAGCAATCCATATGAATCAATTACGGTTGTACGTAAAGCATTAGTACCAATTATGATTGTCTGAGATTATTGATATGTGTTAAAATCATGTTTGCTGCATGTGTTGTACATACATGTACGCATATTTAGCTGAAATGGTAGTTTATATGTGTGGTACGTGTGTTAAACATGTATATGCTGTATAAGATTACAGTCATAGCATGGGGTGTGTATATATGATACATGATACGATTGAAAGGTTCAAATTTAGGTGCGACTTTGTATGGGGGTCCCGGGGTGCCCTTTTTGAGATGGCTTTGGGAATTCCAAGGACCCACTTTTTTTGTGGGGGGGGCTTAAAGAAAGGCACGTGATCAGTTCCCATCCATTACGTGATCAGTTCCCATCCATTCGGAAGGATTCCCTAAAGGAAGTCGGAAGGTTCCCCTAAAGGAAACCACACCCCAAAACTGTTCATCGTCCCATCGCAAGTTTGGTTTCCCCTCATTTCCTGAGCGGATTGATATTTGAAAAGGAGTAACCACACTTTTTGGTGTGTAAAATGGTCCTGATCCAAAAGTGACTTGAGTCCATGAACTCAGGAAGTGAGCTTCGTTCCCATTCATTCGGAAGGCATAAAAGAAAGATACATCCCAAAAAACGCATATTCATTCGGAAGTTTGGCTTATCTACTGCAACCCAAGGGAAACCGCATGTTTTTGGGGGGAAGTGCCCCAAGGAAAGCTTGCGCCCCCCAATTTTTGGTCCGGTTCCGATTCCCATTCGACTCGTTTTGGCCGCACCGCCGGCGCCTCCCGCAGCTCCGCCTCCAGCAGCGCGAGCTCTTTGTCCTCGAAGAACATCTCGGAGTTGAAGAGCCGCACCAGCGCCAGCCGTGAGCTGACGGCGCTGACGCGGAGGCGGAGGCGCTGGGGGCGAGGCAAAGCGTGAGACTTGCGGGCGGATGCGAGAGCTACGCGCTAGGTCCTCCAGATTTGAGAGGTTAGAATAATTGCGCACCAACTTTTTTCTTCTGTAGTCGATTTTAATAGGGGAACCCTCCCAACCAAAAAAAGGGGAGAGGAGGGCACTACTGGGGGACCTAGTAGGGAATGACCGAAACCGAGTCCTGGGGTTGGATTCGAATGAACCGGTCTTGGATGGATTCCTCAAAAAGAGGAAACCACCAGCAAGGGATGGTTGATAGGGGTCATTCCATTTCTCATTCCCTGCTGAGAACCTGCAAGATAATCAAACCCGGCATGAAAATAATCAAAACCCGGAACCGTGCAAGGAAATTAAACGGCGGCTGCACCTATGGCTGGAACTCTCCCTGAACGAGCAAAAGGTCAATCACATTTTGTAGGTATGAAAAAGCACTTCTTTCCAAAAGGCCTAGGAACTATCCCGAAACAGCAAGCACCTGAACAAAAGGCAGGCCCTCGACATGCCTTCCGCAAGGGAAAGATACTGTGGATGGTTGCAACATCCATTTCGCAGCACATTTCACACCCCCGAATTACTGATCTGATTCCATCCAACGTGGTGTCAACCATGGTTTCAAAGGCGCCAGCGGGTTTCGCAGCCATCCTCATAAACTCCGAGCTGAAAGGACCTCTTCCGGAAGACTGGGTTTCATTCCCGACAGCCGAAAGTCGCGTACTCTTGCACACAGACCCTTTAAAAACGTTAAAAATAGGTCCATGACCCCAGTATTTAGGGTAATGACCCCATCTTTGAAGGGTCAGAAGGAGACTCTAGGTACATTAAGGAAGAAGGTGATGTTCCAGCGCAGAAGCCTTTAAGGGGAGCTTCCCGGCTGTTCCGAGTGGGGCCTACGACCTGCCGCCGGCCCACGCCTCAGCTGCTCGCTGGGGACGAAGCCGGCCGAAGCCTCGCGATGTGAAAAGACCTGTGGCCCCTTTTGTGTGGTTTTAAACGGGCACCGAAGGAAAACCACACATGGGTATGGGTCAAAATTAAGCCACCAGGAGACCACAGGTTTTTTGTCATTGTTTCCATTTACCAGGGATTTTTGACCCACAACCACATGGGGTTCTTATTTTAAGACACACCCATGTAGGCTACCCTTGTCACCCGTGCAACATTTGCTTACCTTCCACAAGCGCTCCCCGCCCCAAGAACTCTTTGAGCCATCGAACACTTGCTGCCGAGTCCGGGTGTTGGTTGAAAGAACCGGTTTTGGATGGATTCCCGAACAAAGGAAACCATGGGATGGATGGTTGATAGGGGGTCGTTCCATTTCTCATTTCCTGCTGAGAACCAAAACGTAAATTCCAGCCTTTCATCAATACATTCAGTAAATCTACATGGTTTCAACAGGGTAGGAAGGTCCGAAGAGCTTGCTTGGGAAAAACTGTTAAGTAGGAACTTGTTTCCTAGACCTCACGCAGGCGGCTCTTCTGGAGCGTCCCTGCATGGAATGAAACTGCTGCTCCCTTGGGATGGCAGAGAGGCATGGGCATAGGTGGCCTTTTGGAAAAATAAATGGCCCTGGCAAATGGAATAAAACCCATCTATACCAAACTAACCTAAAAAGGACAACTATGGGCATGGGTTGATTTCACCAGCATTCCAACTTTCATACACCTAGTCTTCCCCACGAAAGCTAGCATGTATCTGTAAAAGGCACACCACTTTCCCGTCCGCCAACTCCATGTCTTGTGGGGGAGCACTAAACCAAGCATGGGTGACCATCGGTGGCTTTGGGAAGCAACAAAACAAAGAGCCAACAAACCAACCAACCAAACCAACCCAAACCAACCCAAACCAACCCAAACCAACCCAAACCAACCCAAACCAACCAGCCAGCGAAAGAGCCAGCCAACCACAAGCCAACAAAGCTGACAAACACCACAAAGGCAAACTTGAAATCAAGTACAAAGCCAGTCCGGTTGCTGCTACCTAGGCGAAACTGTAAACTGTCATTGCCGGGCCTTGAAGAACAGTCAAACCAAACAGAAATCCATTTTCTTCGTGTAACACCAAAGTCTTTGAATCTAGTGTTGCACACACTTCACCCATGTCCTTCGCCCGAAAGAATAACAAAGAAAACAATCAAGAGACACAGTTGAAAGAATCTGGGCAAATAACATTAACTATAATTCCCACACCAGAAATAAGGGAGCCCCCCAGTAAAGAACCTTCATCATGGGTTTTGTCTCGTTTGCCCCACGATGCCCCACGGATCGGTGAGCTCATATTTTGCCCATAGAAACACACCCTCAAACTAGGTCCATAACAAAGCGTCCTCAAAATGATATCTGATTTTGGTGGTTCAAAAGGAAAGGCGTCCCAAAAGTATCTGTTGAGCACCCCTCCCCAATCATCACTTGCATTTGTGGCTGACCCAAAGGGAGCCAAACTGGCAAGAACTCCAGGTGAGCACAAGGTTGCCTGCATCCGAAACGGACTGTGCCTGGTGGAATTGCACAGGGACCCTTGGCAAAGTTTAATGCACCCGAACAATATACATGAATTACTACGTTGAAAATCGGCCCCTTCTGTTTGCAATTGGAGACAAAAAAAAGGAAGCCGTTTTAGTGGACCGATTCCTATTTGGGTGTGTCGTATTTTAGGGGACCCGCCAGGATGGTGGTTTTCCTTGAAGTGTTCCTTCAAAACCAACCACAAAGGGGTCGACATCATACCCTGCAAAAAGGTGGGTATTGTGTGTAGGGGCTACCTTAAAAAGAAACACAAAAGAGGTTACAGGGGTCCCTGGATTTCCCTTCAAAAGTTGCAACTGGTGGGTCCCATTGATATCGCCACGTTTGGAGGTCCAAAAAAGGGAAATGGGGGCAGGCACCCCTGGGTTCCAGTACCTTTAAAAACAACAAACCTCTTGTTTGAGCAATTACTTACCCCTTAAAACTCCAAGCCCTGGGGAAGTTAATCTTTTACAGACATATAGCCCATGTTACCCAAAAAGTTGAGAAAAGTTTTGTGTTTTTTAAGAGGTCAGATTCTCCGGGCAAAAGACCCCAAATTGCATTTCAACTAGACTACCGGTGGCCCGGATGCATAGACATGAAGCAAAACCGTCAGAACCCCTTCTTGTAAACACTACTTCCATTTGGTTAAGCTCCCCGGGAAAAAAAATAGAATAGTTTATAGTAGTGAATTCTATTCCCTTTAAAACCAACAAGGGAAAACAAACATATGTCCAGTAGTGATAGATTCCAATTAAGACATTGAAAACCAACAAGGGGGAAAAACACACACACACACACCTGAAGCAAATGGAAAGACTCTTTGGGGAAGCCGGTCCCGTTTTGCGCCACCGGCAGCCCGACGCAAGGGGCCTCCAGCAGGCGGCCCTGGCAGCCCCGCAGCGCCAGGCCCGCGCGCGCCAAGGAGTGCCGCAGCTGGAACCGCAGCGTCTCCGCCTATTTTAGCGGCGCCTGGGGGAGGGGGGGGGGGGGGTGGATCCGGATGGATCCCGGTCGGGGGGGAAACACGTGGGGTGGCGCGTTGGAACCGGCCAAAACAGCCCTTGCTGCTCTTCTTTGCTTTCTTGTCCTCCATTTGCTTAGGTCCCCTGGAAAAAAAAGCACCATATTTCCAGTAGTGATAGATTCCCTTTAAAACCAACAGGGGAAAATGAAACATATTCTGAATGAAATGGAAGTTGTAGCTATGAACTTGGAAAATCGACGTCGTGGTTTTTTGGGGGACCTGGCAACTACATGCTTATCTCCTCATCACCAGTACCAAGAATCTCAGGCTCGAAGCCTTGGAAAGCCAACATGGCCATCGGGCAAGCCTTAAGTGTCCAATAAACGTTGACCTTTGGTTCTATGGATTTTTGAGTTCAGGGATCCGGATGCATTATACACCTGAACATTGCAACTTGTAAATGGTGGTGTCCAACTCTATTTTGGTGTTGAAAAAGCCATGCTTGTTTCAAATGGTTGCAAAATGGAGATCTTTTGAGGAGCCCTGTTCATGTAGGCCCCATTTTGACCCCCAACGGCTAGCACCTTGTTCTATGGGAAACAAAATGGGTGGGTCTTAGTAACTTGGGCTCGGGCGAATGTTTGTGCCAGGTTCGGAATCAGAACAGCACCTGCTTGGCCCCATTCCCACATGATGAACTGGGCTGTTCAGACTGAGGATGCCAGGATGCCAAATTCCAATCCGCAGCCGCAATCTGCGAGACGCTATCATCCGGAAGGCGTAAGTATCATAAGGATGCAGGAATGAAGATTGAATCTTGAACAGCCCAGCAACACAAAGTAAACAACCACCCCTTCCCTTTTTCCACAGCGTGACGTGGGCTCGGAACTCGGCGTGGCCGAGCCCGACCGGAACTCAACGTGGATTCGCTCGCCTCGGCGAGCGTGACCACCACCACGTAGCGCGGAGCATTGGACGCCTCTGATGGGTCACCTGGCTTGAAGCGTTTTGGTCAAAGGAGGGGCTCAGTGGCCCAAAGGCCCAAAGGTCCAGAGGTTGATTCCTTTTCCATTCTACGGGTACCTTCCATTTCCATTCTGTCCAGGGATCCTTCTTTCTAGAAAACCACCGGAAAGATTCCCTAGGTCCTCCAGTAGAGAGGTTGGTACCAACTTTTTCCTGTCTAGTTCAGTAGGGGAACCCTCCCAACAAAAAAAGGGCACTGTTCCAACCATTCTGTTCAACCATCGTTCTTTTCAAAAACCGATCGCTGTTTTCCCAGGGCTTTTGGTGGTTTTCTGGACAGCAGGATCTCAAAGAATGGTGAAGCAACCCTTAAGGACCTGGAGATGAAAGGTTGAGCTTTTGTCACCTAGGTCCTCCAGTAGAGAGGTTAGAATACCCCTTTTTTTCTGTAGTCTATTTTAGTAGTGGAACCCTTCCCCAAAAAAGGGGAAAAGGGCACTGGGGGACCTAGTCACCTTGACCAAGTATGGACCACAGGAAAACCAAAAGGTCACAGGGGCGATTCCCTTTGAGCAAGAGGAAGTGACCACTCCTAGGGCATTTTGAGGGCTTCACTTCCCAAAAGCCAGCATTCCCAACGGAGAATCATCAAGTAAAAAAGGGCATGGTGATCGTTTTTGAGAGTTCCGTGTTTCACGAGAAACCCCTTTCCATTCAGGCCGATTTTGACAGGAAAAGCCGCACCTCACAGCAGGATCCCTTGAGAAAACTGACTGATCGTCCAGCTCCCAGTGCTACGGGGGAGAATTCATGTGGAACTCGACATGAATTTCCAAAGGTCTTAATGGGTATGGTTTCTTTCTAGGGTACCCCTTTCTGTGTGGTTTTAAAGAGAAACCAAGAGGAACCCCCCATTTTGAGGGTCCCCTTAAAAAACACCCAAACGTCGTCTCCAAACGAGACGCAGTTTGCCGCAACTTGCTATTCACTCGCCGGAGATGTCAGGAATCCATCAGAGGAATCTGCATAGGCATTCGGTCGCAAAGACCCTTTCTGAGGTTGCGAGACAATTCGCGCAGGAAAACACACACACACAAAAACAAAGAAAACATGCTTCGAAGCAGAAACGGTACAAAATATGCGGGCGGGCTTTGCCTTGGCCAATTTGAAAGGGACACCAACATGAAGCGTTTAGCTACTTTTCCCAGGTTGGGGCAACGTCATGCTCATTGCCTTACGTTTTGAGATCTGACGCGGGCTGAAGTGTGCCTCGTTTGTGTACTGCATAAAGCACAATGCTTGTTATATCACCGCTTGTCTGCTGTGCGAACAACAACGTGTCATGTAAGACACTAATATATCTTTGTTTCTATTGAATATGTCCATCTAGTGCTAGTAAAGGGCAACATGTGTAGAAAAGGACAACACACCTTCCTGACAAAGGGAAGGCTTCATGGAATGGAACGGCAGGTCCGAGGACACAAGAGCTTGCTATGCAGGAAGACGGTCCTGCCAAACAAGGTGACCAGGAACTTGAAGTGTATCATCAGGTGCAGGCATCTTGTGACGTGTGCTGCGGTGAAAATTGAAGGGTCCTTGGATCAAACACTTTCATTTGCTTAAGTTCTCTGGAAAAAGTGAAATATTTCCAGTAGTCATAGATTCCCGTTAAAACCAACAGGGGAAAATAACAAATATTCTTAAGCAAATGGAAGAACAGGGACAGCAACACACGGAGACAGACGCAGAAACAGACAGAGACGAAGACAGAGACACATAGACGTAGCACACGCACACGCACACGCACACGCACACGCACACACACACACACAAACACACACACACACACACACACACACACACACACACACACACACACACACACACACACACACACACACACACACACACACACACACACACACACACACACACACACACACACACACACACACACACACACACACACACACACACACACACACACACACACACACGCTCACACGCTCACACGCTCACACGCTCACACGCTCACACGCTCACACGCACACACATGCGCTGGTGCGAATCATGACCAGTGCCATGGTCAAATACCTCTGCAACCCTTACTCGGGCCTCCCAATCCATGAACTATACCAATGAAAAGAGCGGTCGCACCAATATCTGGTTCCCCACTAATCTTCATCTAAGATTAGTTTGATTCTTGCTGTACAAAAGTTGCGAATGTCCGTCAATGAAGACGAATGCCATGGTTCAATACACAACAAGGGAAGCTATCTCTAAGTTTGGAGGGCTTCGCAATTCGAAGTAGATGTCCGGAAACATCGCACCCGTCTGGACGCCTGCCATCTCTGCCTCTGAAAGGGGATCATTCTGGAGGCTATCCTGGAGCAGCGGAACTGACCCAAGCCAAGCCAAGCCCAGATCCAAGAATCCGCGGCAAGTTTTGTCCGGCGTGCAAAAAGGAAAGCCTGAAACTAATTGTATCCCTAATTGATGGCTTGGACCAAGGGGGCCATTCAACAGGAACCAGGGCTCAAAGCCCCAAACCACCAATCCAAACCACCAACTCAGGGTACCTGAGAAATGGTGAGCTTAGGAAAATCCAGGCTCCTCTAACTTCATCTAAAAAAAGACATTGGTGCGCACTTTCAAAATTGTTCGAAAGAGGGTCGGCATAAATGACACTAAGGCCAGGTGCTCCCGAAACTCCTCCATGCTGGACCAAAACTAACGAGCGCCTGCTGATGCCGCAAACACCCCCCCCCACCCCCCCCCCCCACCCCCAACGCCACAAGTAAAAGGTCCACCGGCAACCTGGAAAAGGGCCTCACGTGTCACGAAACCTAAGCGAAAACAGCGAAAGTGCTCGAAACACAGCGGTCGTTTATCAGCGCGCCTCCTAAAATAAGGAACCTACACATCGTGGCCGCTAACCCCATTTGTGAGCTACTGCATCTAGATGATGTCAGATGGTGGGCACGTGCGAAAGCTGGAACGACCATCCACGCCGTTCCCTACCTTGTCTTTTACTCCCTGCAACTTCAACTTATGCTGCTCACCGGAAGGACATGTTTGGCACACAAAGATGGCTGTGTCTCAACCCCGCAAATGGCTGGGGTCTCTCCGAATTGGGCCCACATGAAAGTGCACTGCCACCTTTTTCAGGAACAGTGACAGGGTCTTCAGGACTTTGTGCGCGTTCTGAGGCTTTTCCGGAATTTTCCAACCCAAATCAGTTTTTGACCTCCATTTGAAGTGCTTGCGGTTCAAAAGTCCCCCAAAGAGCAACACCACACCCAAAAAGTAGATGCCACAATTGCCTGTATGGCATGGGTTGATCAATCAACTAACATGGGGGAGCATTGTGCCATCTGCTCTCACGCAACTGTATATAACCTAATGAATGTTGCATAGCTTCATATGTATGTTGTACAACTAACGTGTATTCATGCAGGTATACACATACTTGTGTGTAGTATGGTGTATATTTATATATATATATATATGTGCTACGATTATCAAGTTTCCGCATATGGGTGTGTCGTGCCCTTTTTGGGGTTGTTTGTAAGGGAAGCCTATTTGGAGACAAACCTTTGTGGCTGAATCACCTCAAATCGGGACCCACCAAATTTTCCATGTCCACCAAAGGATCCGGGACCCGTTCAAATTCACAGCTGAGTGGATTGGCCAGAAAAGTCGCCAAACTTTTTTGTGCGCCACTAAACTGGTCCAGACGGTTAACCTCTGAGAGCAAGTGGAGGATTTGCATTTCACCGAGTTTTTTGAAACCTGACCTTGGCGCGCGCCAGCGCTCTCATAGCCGCCTCTGTGGGGGTACCGCCTGGCTCGAGGATTGCTCGAGCAAAAGCTCGGTCTCACTGTCACCTTTTGTCTGGCTCACTTCCGATCGAGTGGATTGGCAAAAAACAAGTCCAAACTTTTTGTTTACCACCAAAATGTCTGCCCAAAAAGTTTAAAGTTCAGCACCTCAGGAAGTGAGATGGACAAGCCCCTTGTTTCCAAAAGGTTGTGTCGGCGATTTGCTCAAAAAGACCATGGATGCCCTACGGTGTTCAACCCGCAAAAGCAAGAGTACATGTTTGTACTCGTGCAGACCGCATCTACCAAATGTGGCGGCACTCCCAGATTCCAATATTCCAACAGTTTTGCATTTTGCAGCGAGCGCTCTTGCACCACACAATCTTGCGAAAATGCCGCACAGGCCATGCGAAACAGTTTTTTTCTGTCGCGGGCATGTTATCATTCCCTGGCCCTAGCCCGACCCCCGCGCCCCACCCCCCCCCCCGGCCCCATCCAACCTCCCGCACGGAACGACTCTGGCAAAACACCTTTGGCACTTGCCACCAACAGACCAAACAAAAACAAAATTGGTGGCCTTAAGAATAACAACCCATTTTAGCAATGCAAACAAAACAACCACCCAAACAAAACAAAACAACCCCCATTTGCCGTCATGTGGCAATGGGTTGACAAAGACAACACGACGGCAACGGCAAAGGCGAGTCTAGAGCCCCCGCCTGCTGCGGCCTCCTCTACAAAGAATCGCCGCATCCGCAGCTGGAGCCCTCGCTTCTGGCGATCCTGGACATCCCTGAAATGGGAGGGTGGTCCTTTCGGTTTAACCAAAACATACAAACAGATACACCCATGTGTCCTTTTTGGGAAAATAGATGGCCCTGGCAATTGATTGAACCACCAGGCAAACCAGGGCCCTCTATTTGTCAGTCAAGTTCAACCAAAACGGAGACCTATGGATACACCCCTCAAAAGGGGACAACCTCCAAAACCGTGAAATTTACCCAACAAAATTTCCGAAAAGCGAACCTTGGGTGGCGGACCCCTTTAAAGGCGTGCGCTTCGCACCATGTCCTCTCCCCAAACGGGGCTATGTGATCCGCATGAAGCGGGTTGATAGCCAAGCAAAGCATGCGACAGAAAGGCGACGCACTTCCACTCGAAGTCGATGATGGGCTACTAGGCTAGGTCCTCCAGTAGAGAGGTTAGAATACGGGTACCCTTTTTTCTGTAGTCTATTTTAGTAGGGCAACCCTCCCCCAAAAGGGTAAAAGGGCACTACTGGGAGGCCTAGATGAGCTACTAGGGGCAAATTGCAATGGCTTCCTGAATCGAAGGGTTGATGAACACAACGCCGGTCAAGTCGCTGGGCAGATGACCATCTTTGCCAAACTCCAAGGGATACATTGGCAATGCTACAAGGACTTTGCTCGAACGACACCAGCCGCAAAGAGAAGAAGCAAAAAACAAAGAGTGTTCAAAGGAATCTAAGTGCGGTTGTCACCCCAGTTAATTTCCAGCCTGTGTTCAATCTGGGTGGTTCTTGTCAAGTGACCCCTCAAGTAGCTGTAGACCCCTTTTTGACCAGGAAAAAAATATTAAACCCCCAACGCTCCAGGTATATGGAATCAATACACACAGGGTCAAGAAGAGCAGTCATTGCGAGGAAAGAGGAAGTGAGTGTGCTGAACCAATGGCCGCCTTCACGGAAGGCATGAAGAGCTACGACAATGCAGCGAATCAATTCAAGGAATTTCATGCGCCGAACCGCCGTTTGCGTTCAGCCCCCTGGAAAACATGACAACCTATTTCCAATAGTGATAGATTAACCTTTAACGCCCACAGAAAAAATAAACAATATATATATATATATTCTTCAGCAAATGGAAGTTCATCTTTGCACCCGATGTTGGTTGTTTTGTCCTTCTGGGCAGAAGTACTCCTGTTGGTGTGATTGTGAAGGGAAAACAAAAAGGAACCCACCATTTTTGGGGGTCCGCTATTTCGACACCCCGCCACACAAAGACCTCTCCAGCACACAATGCAATCTGGCCGAACCGAGGCGTGGATTGATCATCCACTTCTTCGATAGCCCCCTTTTGTGACACCATGATTTCCTTGATAGGACCCGGTTCTTGGGTTCTCGAAATGCCAACAGGGTCCATGACCATCCCTAACCCCTCGCAAAACGACACAATAGAATACCCTCCAACCCAACAAAAACGGAAGTGGACAGAGGGGTTCCCCAAAAGGAAAGTAGTCTTCCAACCCCCTCCTGTCAGCTTCCATGTTCGTACCAACATGTGGCCCATTGCAGGGCAATGGTGGGTGAATATTGCATGCAGGGGAGTGCTTGGGAAAGGAACTGATCTTTAGACTTTGCCACACATGAGTGTGAAAATGGTCTTGGTTGCTTTCGGCTTCTCTTGAAAACCACTCCAAAAGGGATACCCAACCCGAACACCGCGACATGCCACGACCGGAAACCAAAACGGAAACCGAGACCCTCACAGGTATCCAGTGGACTCCCATGGAAGAAAACAGCGGCACCCTTCGTCAGTCTGCTTTCAATCAGTCCTACCAAATGTTCACCCCCTCCAAAAGCAACTCAAGTTGCAAACACTTTCCAGGAATCATAATTTGTCACCCCCCACAGCTCTGAAAAAAGCCGCGAAGAAGAAAAAAAGCAACCCGAAAAAGAACAAAACAACACACACACACCAACAAAAAAAAAAAACAAACAATGGGAACCACTTCTCCCAGCTGGAGCCCTTCACCGACCGCTGACCGACCGCCAGTCAGCCGGCGACCGCCGACCGCCGGCGCCTGGCAGAGCTCCGGGTGCCACTCCAGGACCACGTGGCAGGTCTTCAGCCGCCGCTCCCCGAGGCCTCAGCGCACAGCGCCCCCCAGCGCCCGAGAGCCCCCGAGAGCCGCCTCCAAGTCGCCGCCTGGGGCACTTGAGCTAACCCGGGAAGTGAACACATGCTCCTTTTTCTCGCCAACGAGAGAATCAATAATGTTCCTTTCAGCAAACTCAAAGCTTGAGAGTGAATCTCAAAACCCCGCTATTAACATGGTCGGAAGCCCAGAACCATGCTTCAAGAATAAAGAAGGCGGATCTCCGAAGGTACTTGTGGTTGGGATTGTCCCTTACTAACCTTCATCTACCCGGGTTTTCATTGTGGCTCACTTGGTCTAGGACACGCTGCCCATCTTGCGCACCAAACTCTCAGAACTGGGCAGCCGGTCTTGCCAACCACATCCAAGACATATCCAGATGTGCTTCTAGTCCGCGTTGCTCTGCTTCACCCGCAAAGACGCATCCTGCAAAGCCTCTTGAAGTTGGGCCAGAGAACCTCATTGGACAGTGCGGTGCTCGCCATATGATCCGTATGGAAGCCAGCTCATCCCATCACAGCCTTAGGCTGAAGCAACCATGCTCGACCCCAAAAAAACAAGGATTCACATAGGGCTTCCGAAGCTAAGGCTTGGGATGGCTGGCCGCAGCTCGAAATCTTAATTTGCATTTTGCTCCTCCTTCCAAATGCAGGCTTGGTGGTCCAAGCTAGGATTGCTGGCAAGCTCCGATAGGCAAAGGGGTGTGGGAATTACTGCTGACCAAGCCAAGCATGCCACCATCCCCCTAAACAAAACTCATTGCTTCAAACAAAACAAAACAAATACTTTCCAAACCACTTGCAATTGTCATTGTGCAGTGCCTGAAACGTGCAAATCAATGAGCGGATTTTCCCCGAACAGCATCATACCGAAACCAGCGTTCTGGAATTGTAGCGTTCTGTTAAAATAAGGTGGCGTTCTGGAGCCAAAAGCGTTCTGGAACATGCGCGTTGTAGAGCCACTTCGCACAGAATCCCTGCATGATAGCAGGGTGTGCATGTGAGGGCCAACATTTCCAGTGACAAATATCCGTGTTCATCCGGCAGATCAGCAAAATGCATATACCCAGAGTCTCCTTCTGACCCTTAAAAAATGGTTGGTCATTACCCTAAATAATAGTCATGGACCTATTTTATTTCGGGTCAGAAGGAGACTCCAGGTAGCAATGCAAGGCGGTCTCATTCGGAGCATTTCTTCTTTGCGCGGGCCTAAAAGCCTCAAACTGGTGCCCAAGAAGTGGGCAGACCCAAGCCTACGGCTACCAAACCCACACCTTTCGCTCAAGTCCCCTGAGGAAACAAAGAGTCCAGTTTTTCATACTTCCCCTTCCTAACCAACAGGGGAAAGTAAAACAGTTTCTTAAGCTAATGGAAGAACACAAGTCTGTCATTACACGAAACCGATGCAAAAAACAAACCAACGAACGGCGTCCCGGAATACCGAGGGCCAAAGCCCACCCAGCTCGGTCGGAAGAAGTTGTCACTCAACCTGGGCGGAGGCTAAGAGGCCTCTCCGAATTCGACTGCTTGAGCTGGGTGTGGCTCAAAAATAGGTCCCAAATGGCTTGCCCTGGTAAATGGAAAGGTAGACTAAAACCTGCGTCACCCCAGCTGTTTAGTTTTGACTCACACCCAGCTGTTTTTCAGTGCATCCCAGGCGTTGCGCCCATGGAGGTTGCCTGCTATTATCCTTTTTGGTTTTATTTCGGGTGGTTCCTTGGTGACCAACTATACAGGTAGATGGAGCTTTGGTATGGTTGCCTTGGTTACCTATACAGGATTGTACAGGTACAGCAAATGGATCCACTGGGGTTTGGGAATTTTGAGGGGAACCACTCAGACACCCTTGGCATCGGACCCCTTTCGGGGGGCTGAAAGGACGCCCTGGCCATTTGAGGAGGAACGACATTTTGGAGAAACCCCAGGCTTACCTCAAGGTGGAACCGCCTGAAATCATATGATATGGCCATGGGTCAACACAAAATGGGTGGTGAACCCACCCCAAAATGGTACCATTGGTTTTGACTTGCAGCCATATATTTTGCGGGGTGTCTGCTTTAGAGTTGGCTCCCATTCTGAGGGAAACCAAAAGGACATCACCATATATATATACATATATATATATATATATATATTTGTTTGGGGGGGGTCCATAAAACAGAACACACTGAGCATCACCATTGATTTATTTATTTTGTTGGGGGGGGCGGTCCATGAAAAAGAACACACTGACAGGGTCCCCCATTCGGAGACCAACACATCTTCAGATTCTGCTTGACGGGCTGGGACCCTTGGCTATGGATCCACAGGCCCAGAGGCCTCAGATCAATGGTCAATGGGTCAGGGCTGAATACAGCGCCTCATGGGCTCGCTCAACCTGACTCCTAGCTCTCGAACACCTGCCCAGCCATGGAGTCGTTGGCCCTGGGCATCTTTTCCTGGATCTTGTCCATGAGGTAACCCTGGGCCACGTTCCTTCTGGAGGAAATGGGAATTTGCTTGAACAGCCCCCCCATGTCCGTCCCTTGGCCACAAGACAATAAACCACACAGCACCCATATCCAAAACCCTACTGAGTTGCTCCAAGCCTTATGATGGAAACATACTGTCCATCCTTGCAAATCCCTGAAACAATCAAATTAGAGAAAAATCAGAGGAAAAACAAACCAGATACCTTTTGCACCCCACAATAAACCACTAAACTGCACCCATATCCTAAACCCTGCGTTAACCTCTTCTGCCCCCGTGAGCAAAAAAGCTTCGATGCCGTTTGCACCCCGACCGTCGCCCTTGCCCGCCAGGGCGCCACAGGCTGCTGTCCACCGGCAGCAGCGGCTGCTCCGGCCGTGCCCGGAAGGACCGGAGCCGGTAGAAGGGCCGGTCTTGCGAGCCCTGACAGCCCTGGCGCGTCTGGGGTCAACAGATGAGACTCCGCAACACATACACGCCCATCAATGATTATCTATTTCTTCCACCAGTCCTCTTTCATCATTACTAAATTAAGACACTCATGAATTCTTGTTTGTTTCATCTTTGCTTTGGCGAAGCTATGCTTAAATGGGTATATTTTGTGTGTATATATATATATACATGTAAGGAGCGGACAAACCCCCCAAACACTCCTTGGTTGACGTTGGAAGGGGAGCAAACATTTTTCAATTTTAGCAGTTCAGGGGGGATTTCAACCACTAAACCACAAGAAGCAAAAATGCAAAAAATGCTTCCCAACAACAACCATGGGGTTGGGTGACCGGAAATTCCACAGCAAACAGCTGATTCAGGGTGTTTTGGGGCCATGTCCTGCAGATTTCCCGATAACCCGACCTCTTGAAACCCCTTATTTTATCGGTGGTTTGCTATGACGGTGTCCACCCCCAAACCGAAGCGAGCTGCAGGGGTTTGATAGGATATGCAGCCACTGTACAGCCATTCTAAGGGCATATATGAGTCAGCGTCAAAATTACTTGTCTGAGGTGTATTCGTTCCGACGTTAGGACGTCCCGTATCATTTCTCACTGTTTGTTCTCAGGTTTTGGGGTATCGTTTTTTTGGACGTCCCGTATCGTTTTTCGAGCAACATAAAAAAAAAAAAAAGTGCATGAAACACTCCTACATAAAGTAAATGACGGCAATTTTGAGGCTGACTCATATCCTGATTTACCCGGGTAGCTGGGTTTCTGCGCCTGCTCCAAATGGATTTTCTGCTAAAAGTCAAGAACCTTTAGTGGGCTAAATGGAAACCCAATCGCTCATCCAACTGAAAACCTGAAGAAACCCTTAAGAACCGGATGGCTGGGAACCACCAAGTTTTGATGTGCCGCATCTGCGACTGTTTTTTTTTTGTTTCCCCCCGTTTCTTTTTGCAACATGTCCAACTCTTGAAATAGGGGATCGATCCCAGATCTTTTCAAGACCTGAGCTCGCCATAGGCGTGCATGATTTTTCATGGAGCAGGGCGATGAGTTGAAAAAAATCGACATCTTGGGGGGCAAGTAAAAATGCAGACCAAACGCAAAAAACCGAGCCATGGCGAAGAATCAAGAATCGTCACTGAACCTTCACTCACTTTCACCTTCGGTTTCTAACGTTGTGACCTCCTCTTAAAATGGGTGGGTGTCTTTTTGAAGGGTCCCATGTTTGGTGGTTTTCAAGGAAACCCAAAAGGAAAACCAAATCTGTTTGGGGGGGGGGGGTCTCCAAAAAAAGACACACACCCGTACCTTCCATTTGGTTAAGACCCCTGGAAAAAATAGAAATATGTCCAGTAGTCCAGTAGTGATAAATTCCTTTTACAACCAACAAGCGAAAAAATAAAAAATAAAATCTTAGGCAGATACTGTATCTTGCCCTGACGCTTGCGGGGTCTTTTGGGGCCCCCAAAAAACTCGAACCGCTGCTGGATGCGGCCTGACTCGTTGGCTCCTCTGGCGGCTCCATGAGGATCTTGGAAGCCCAAGGGTTCGGCTGCCTCGGTGACTCACTCTCATCACAAACATAGGCGTCCTTTTTGGTTGAAAATAGATGGCCCTGGTAGTTGATTGAACCAGCAGGTAAACCAGGGCCCTCTATTTTTCAACCCAATCAACCAAAAAGGACACCTATGGTTCCTACACTACCAGGGGTAGCTTCCATTTCCATTCTTTCCGCTAGCCCTGTAGAACTACAGGTTTTTTTTTCAGGAAACCAGGTGTGGTATTTGTTTACCCTGTCCTTGGAATTCCCTGGTTGATTGAACCACCAAGTCAACCAGGAATCGCCCTCTATTTTTCAACCAAATCAACCTCGAAGGACACCTATGATTACAAACTTATGAACCACTCAGATCCGTTGTGGGGATTGCCACATGATCCCACATCTTGCAAATTAGAGGTAACCAAGAATTGAAGAGTAGAACCAACACACAGACACAGACACCAGCACCCGGGTCCCAAGAACTGCTGTTTCAACCCACGTCCACTAGGGCAACCAACAAAGCCATTGGTGTAACGAGGCTGTCCACGAAGGTGTCTGGCAAAAATATTTCAATGCCATCCTTTTCTGGTTTCCTCTTGGGGGAAGTTGGAAGCAATCCAACTTGAGTCAGAACTAAAGCTTGGGACATACCTGTGTCTGTCACCCCTGAAACTCCAAGAATCCAGACCCCTACTCCACTTTGTCCAGCCAGCCCGGAGAAAAACTCGCAAAACTCGCAATGCCATGCTAATGAACAGCAGCAGCTTCGCATTGCATCCAGCTTCAGAAGCAACCCATTCTCCAGCCCAAGCATAAGCACCAAGCAAGCAGACAGGCAAGCACGCAAGCATGCGAGCGCGGAACCAAACCAGGTTGCTCCTCCATTTGCAAAGCCTTGACTTAGAGCTTGCTTGTAGTGCTTTGTTTGTCGAAAGTATGGTTTGACTCTTACATTATGTGGGCTCTCAAATTACTGTGGCCACCTTTTGCCCCCCATGCCCCCCCACCCAATTTCTGCAAACAGTCAGGAGTAGTAGATAAAGACTTCCTCAATATCAAACTGACCCAAATAAAGTACGGGAGCAGGTGATCTGCAGAGATAGCGATGTAATACGAAGCCACATACTGAAGTCAACGTGTTTTTGCTTAATGTTCGGCAATATAGCTGTGGGTCAAAACCCTGTACCCCTGGTGAACATCAAAATAGGTGGTACATGGGTGTTCATCCGCCCCAAAATGGAGGCATAGGTGACCTATGGCCATATCAAAACACATAATCTGTGCCGTCCGTACCATCCAAATGTGTGCGCATCAAATGGGCGCGGCTCAAAGTTAAAGCGCTACGGGCTATGTAGGTGTTCGTCCTACGTCCATTTAATATACCGAGGGGCCATTGGGGGTACCATGTTGTGAGCCACAGCCTAATGAGTCTTGTTCAGGGCAGCACATTGACGCTCAACACCAATGTCATGTTGTCGGTTGCTGGGCAGCTGAAAAAATTGTAAGCAAAAGCATTGTTTTGGGACAAAGCCTTTTCTGTGATACTGTCGATGGACAACATCCGCTTTGCAGCATCTGGTATGTCTATCCCATCCCAACTGGTGCCGATCGCTTCGCGTGGATTTTGTCCAGTAGCAAAGTGGGACTCCCGACTCCCATCCCCAATTTGACTGGAAGGCGGCACACCCGGGCACACCTGGCAACCGTCAACCCACAACCACGGGCCCAAAGCTCGAATCGTCTTGGGAAGTTGAGAGCCATGACCCATGACAGTTGTCACCCTCCTGTGAATGGTCGCCATGGAACTCAGAGAAATGGTCTAAAGGACATGGTCCAAACCAGGACTTCCCACCTCGACAACAAATTCTGACCAAACAGCAAAAGTCACCAAGTTTTTGAACCCAGCCGCAAATCACGCGCTTCATTCTGGTCCCAAAATGTCATGAACCTTGCAATGTAAAGCAACTTCGAAGGTGATCCCAGAAAACTGGGTTGTCCTCAGATCCCCTTCTAAAAGCTTAACTTGTGGTTAAATGGAAACCCAACCACTCAACCAACTTAAGAGCGAACGAAAAACAAAACTAAGAAACCGGATGGCCTTCCAAAACCACCAAGACAAGCTTCTCCTGGCTCACTCAGATGCCCAGCTCATCATAACCACTTCTCAAATGCCGAGCCGCTCGTCATCTCGCGTGAAAGCGCTCTCCTGCTCTTCTTCCTGTGGCTTCGCCACAGGGGGTGGGGCAGGTGACGGCGGCGGCCGTGTTTTTTTTGTTTCTTTCTTTTTCGCTGAAACAAACGGCCTCCCTTGAAACGGGTTTCTACCATAGGAGTCCTTTTTAGGGAAAATAGATGGCCCTGGTAGTTGATTGAACCGCCAGGTAAACCAGGAATCGCCCTCTATGTTTCAACCCAATCAACCAAAAAGGACACCTATGGTTTCTACACTGCCAGGGGTGCTGCTTATTTATCCCAGCCGTGGCAAACGGTGGGTAGGTGGGGGTGAATCTAAGTAGGTCTCGGACGTTGTGGTGATTCATGTCCACCAATCACTTTTCAGGTGGTTCCAACTCTTAAAATTCATGTGGAACGTCCATTTCAAATGGTTGCGGGAAACCCTCAACCAAACCACCTCTCACAGCCTTGCTTTCTGATTATATCCTGGCCTCTTTGTTCTAGCTTGATGAAAGTCATCCCCCAAGTGCTGGCTTAAAGGAAAACAACTTGATTCATGCTCCGACTCTGATAACCCCCAGAAACAGTCAAAATACTGACCCCAAATATCTGGTCCCAAATATGCTTCTTTCCGCGAAACGCATCCCCGCCTGTTCCTCCTCCTGCTCCTGCTGCTGCTCCGCCTCTTGCTCATGCACCACCTCCGCAGTGAAGCCTTGCTGCATCTCCTGAGCCTCCGACACCTGAGAGGCTCGAGGGCTTTCGGAGCGCCAGGCATCGGTGCGACCAAAATGACCGGTGTGTCGTTTTGTGACCTGCACCATTTGTTAGTTTCAACCAGGGCTTGAAAGTGGTGCGAACGGATTTCGTCCACGGACTACGAACCTTGGCATTGGTTCTCGAAAACCCCTGTTGAGAGGCTCATGGTCATGACCATGCCTGCCGACGCCGAGTAGATAAGAAGCTGTTTAACCACTTGGAGAACACCCTGCTCCTCTTGAAGGTACCTGTTTGCCACGTTTTTGGGGTTGTAAAGTGAAGCCAGAGGGAACCCCATCCATTTCGGGGTTCCATTGCTAAAAACAGTGTTCCAATCAGGATGCGTCAGAAGACAAACATGTCCGCTCACACCATAGCAGTGTCAAGCCTTGTCCTTTTGGTTGAAAGTAGCAGGTTTACCGAGGCCTGCTATCTTCAACCAACCCAAAAAGGACACCTATGGTGACAAGGCGCCTTGGATTCCCGTTCGATGCGCTCCAGAAGGTCGTGCTGACGCTTTCTGTCCCGCTCCGAGGAACAGAACTGCACATGCCTCAAGACAAGCGGCGGCTCGGCGGCGGGCGACTCGCTCGCGAGGCGACTTCGCAAGTCGGGGCATTGCGTGGACCAAAACTTCCCCTTACTTGGTTGGCGCTGGAAGGGGAGCAACAAATTTTCAATTTTAGCAGGTAACGGGGGATTTCAACCACAAAACCACAACAAGCAAAAATATAAAACGTTGCCCAACAACAACCATGCTTGGACTCACCTCACAAGGACAGGTGGCACCAGGGCCCAGGTGATGCTTAAAGCCGCAATGGGAAGTACAGGACATCCCGCGGGAAATGTAAACAAACAACAGGCTGACATAATGCAAAACGGGCAACCTGAGGCCTTTGGAACAGGGGAAACAACACTTTTCCGCAAAAACAATCCGGCATGGATCTGCTGCCAGAATGACTTGGTGCATCTGGAGTTGCAAAAAGCAGGCGCTTAATAGGAACATCACGCCTATCCCACGCTTATCACTACCTGTCAGGCGTCTCCGCACCAACACCTGCGACCGCATTGGTGAACTAAATCATACGCTTGCAAACCAGCCTACGACTATTCTTGGGGAGCGCAACAAAACCTTTGCAAGTGCGCTGCTTCTCGTGGAAGCTTTCTCGTCACTGCCGGCGCAAGCCACGGAACTGCCGCGACAAGGGAACTAAATGCAAGCTTGTCGAGCATTGGTAGAATGTAGCCACGGTGATTCAGGCTTGCGAAGGACATTGTCGCATGGCTTTGTCAAAGCCAGAGCTTCCAAAACAAATGCATCGTTTGCATAATAGACAAAGCTTCGAACAAAAATCACCCTTTCAGCCAGAATGCTTAAGCATTTCAGCTTTCCAAAGGCTGGGCATATCTGGAGCCCTTTGCTAGGCCGAACTCAGGACACCAAGAACCAGCGCCCATCAAGTTTCAGGAGCTTGTCGGAAGTCAAAATGATGCGGCATCATCATGCCAATGTGAAGCACACTCAAAACTACTTGCTCCCCCAAGGTGAGTCGCTTGGAGTTTGTGGGGACTTTAGTGCGTGTCCCGTGTCCCTCCCAAACGAACGTTAGACTACCAGAAGGATTTACCCAGCCTCATGTACATTGGATCCACATTACACACTCTTAAAACACATCTTTGGTCGTGTAATCTAGCGCGGCCATCAAAAGATCCATGTTCTGCTGCGATTCGCGTCAGCTGAGCGACAGAAGCCAACAACGCCATCAGAACTCACCTTCCTTCTGATACCCAGTCCCGAGGCTTTCCATGGATTCCCTTTGTCGCGCGCGGGGACGTAGGAACTTCTTAAACGACTCCAACCAAATTGGGACAGTTGAAGGTCTCAAGACTAAAAGTATACGACGGTTACCATTGGTTTCCTGGCATGCAAAACTATGATCTATATATATATATATGTATTGTATATATGGGGGTCTTTTTGTGAGGTAACCCTAGCTTTGTGGTTGTAAAGGCAAGCCAACACCAACACGACAACGATATCTCTCTTCTTTCCTCCTTTTTTTTGGGGGGGAGGGAGGGGTCCCCTTAAAAACGACCCCACGTCTTGCCGTCTTGCGGAGTTGCTCGTCGCATTGATCCTGCAGGACTTCGCGGTACGACCTTGGCGCGGATCGATGCGGATCGCGCCGCTGGGTCTTTCGGGAGGCCACTGGCTTCAACCCACTTCTCATTTCCTAAGGATCTGATTCGATGGATTTTTTGTTGGCCTCAAAATGGGTTGCTTTTGAGGGATGAGGAATTGGTTGCTTTGGGTTCTCCATAGGGTGCGGGGGGTCTGCATTGGTGGGGTCATGACCCTTGTGAGTGGACTTGTTGCTTGCCACAAAATTGGTCTTCGCAAAAAGCCACCCCAGGAACTTGGGGAGTGAAACTTGGTGTTACATTCGAAAAGCATGGTCTTCTCAGGGTTGCTGCCATTCCCATGATAGCACCACTATGCTGCCTCTAACACCCAAGTATAGATCCGGGGCCCTAAGCGGAAATGGGCTCTCCGACAAAAATCGCCGGGCGTCGGACGCCTCTCGGGCGTCGGACCCTCTCCGCCCTCCGCCCGAGGCCAGGGCCGAATTCGTTACCTGTGTCCCCCAGGACTGCCTTTTGGACAGCGCTTGGGTTTTGGGATGGGACAAAGCAGTTGTGTGGCATGATATGGCTCTTAATGTGGCCTTCAAGTATTTCGCAACCGCAATCGAAGTAGTTGGGCTCACAGAGCCTGAAAATACGAGGCCTTTGGATTGTTGATGTCCGATCGAGGATATCCCGTTCCTAAGTTGGACACCGGCACCAATGAAAGGCGTCCTTGCCCGACCAACCTTGCCAATACAAATGCAAACCATTTCAAAACCTCAAACTTTCACAACCCGAAATAAGGGCTCTCCACGTACTTCGAGGCTTTCGAGGGACTTCATGAGCTGTTTTACCCCGGAATCGGTGGACTCGCGCGTTGCCAACCCGCGTGCCAACCTGCCTGGGAGGCAGGATCTTGTCGTCCACTGCGAAGCTGATGCGATCCTCGACTTGAAGCGTGCTTTTGGATTCCCTCTAAACCCGCCTTCTGGTTTCCCGCTAAACCGATCTGAAAAAAATAGTACCAAGGGAATATTATACGCCAAAAAAGAGAATTTGATTTCCGAGGAAAGTCTCTAAGCCTCGAGCCATTTCTCAGCTCCATGATGAAACTCCCCAATCTCTGACGTGAGGAAGTACCAAATGAGCCCTTTTTGACTCCTTACGTACATCAGGGCGCACTGAAAATCCCCAAATGAAAACTTGATCAATTGACTGGTGGTTTCTCCCTTGAAACGATCGCCACGTTTGGAGGTTCCAGAAAGGGAAATGGAGGAAACCTTTTACATGAGTAGGTACTTGGAGCCTCTGTTTTTCCTAAAGCAAGGGCCCCAAGCATCAGAACAGGATTGTGCCCACCCAAACACGTGGAAATTTGAGCATCATTGGGTTGGCGTCGGCGTCCCAAAGGGATTTGTGTCCACCATTTGTTGAGGGGGGTCCAAGCATAGAAATTGATTGCAATGGTGGAAGGGTATCTGCCAATCTGAAAGAAGCTCAAGGAACCTGCAGCACTCACGCCAAACTCCGGGGGTGGGGGGGATCAGGAACATGAAGGACCATAAACTTCAAGTGTCTCCCTTGCTGTGGGGTAAACATTAAGGTTAGACAACCGCAAGTTACTATGAATGAATTAATTTGGGTTGTTCCACCCTCCCGCTTTTTGCTGACATATTTCAGGAAATCCGGTAGTCTTCTCTGTTGCTTAAATAGGTGTGGCTCGAATTGAAGAAGTGGACACCTTGTGGCTTTTCACGATATTCAGACACACAAACATGACACCAACCAGCACCCCCCCCCCCCCACACAACAACCGCTTTTTGGCTACCGTACTTGGGATTCTGGACGTGGTTGAAAAACAGTTGTTGCGACCCGGGTGCTCATCACACCCGTCGGGCGCTTCCAGAAAAAATCCCAACCCGCCCGCTATGGCAACCTCGTCCTTTCGGATACCTGCCGGCCATGGGAGAAAAGCCACAAGATTTGCACCTGTTTTATCCCCCTGTGAATTTAGGGGTGGGGATAGAACAGACATTCTGTATAAGAATCATGGCTTGGAGTCTCTACAAAATGAGATTATCTGGAGGAAACAAAATCTACAACATCCAATATGCCCCAACCGCTTTCTCAGTCTAGAATCCCCTCACGGCAACCGAACAGCAGTGGTTGCCTTTGTCGAAATCGGGTGCTGCATGGGTGTTCGGATCTTTTCCTAGGGCTCCCTGTCCTGGAACGGCCCCAGGCAAGCTTTCAGCGCCGCCGCCTGACGTTTCGGCGCTTTTTCGGACGGGCGAAAAAACGGAGGCGAGGCCACAGATCGACGCTTGGAGGTTTGTTCCAGTTGCGCAACCCCGGTGGAAATGGAAACTCAGCTGCAACTTGGACTTCAGATGTTTTTGTGCTTTGTTTTTTTAAGTTGTTGATTGAGCGCCACCTTTCATGCTGAGCCTGCTCCTTGACCCCTTTGCCATGCCTGTCACCTGGTCTTGATCAACGTTCCGGTGCGTTGGTGTTTGCCTACTTGGCCACCTGCAACATGTCGCAACAAGAAAGGTTCCCGCATCCCAAAGCCCATCCACATCAATTCACCCTATCCCCTTGGACCGTGAATATGAGGGCCGTTAATCCCGAAGACCTCCAATATATATAATATGGTCTTTGGACCCTAGGGTGAGGAAACCCAAATGAGGTTGCTGGGCGAACACAATCAAACTAAATGTCTTCAGGCGCGGCCGAACACTTATTGCGTTCCCACTGCACAAAATACAATGTGTTCATGTGCCTCAGCCGCAGGCGGATCTTTGCCACACACACACACAATGGCGGAAACATTGATCTGCCAAAGGCCAAGCACATGGCTTTCCTCTAAATAAAAATCGGAACAACAAAATGAACTCCGAAAAACACCAACAAAGGCAAGGAAAACCACAACCAATGCAAAAACAAAACCTTCTATGCCTCCCCGCTCCGCCCCATCTCTCCTCATCTCCCCTCGCCTGGGGCCCCTCAAAGCGGCGCATGCGCTCGGCGGTGGGCATCTTGCCGTTGGCCGAGCAGTCCGCGCAGAGGTGCTGCAGCGCCTGGCCGTCGCTCCGTCGGACTCGCCCCGCCGAGCGCTCAATCGGTGCCCCCAAAGACCGAGGTGGGCGTCAAGAAGAAAGGTAAAAATGACTAACTTTTAGTGGGCTAAATGGAACACCCCACTCAACACTAAAAGGCTAAAAGGCTAAGGGGATGGCTGGGAGCCACCAAGTGTTGGTTCTCCCCAAAGACAGAGCATGACGAAATGGAAAACGTCCCTTTTGTTTAGCGCATTTGGCCCAAGGAACCCAAGATTTCAAAAGGCAGCCGACTGAAAAGCCATGGACATGACTTGTTCCGGCGGTCTGGGTTTACTTGTGAAGAACTACAACACCTCAGTTCCTGAGTGGATGGGCCAAAAGAAGTCTGAACTTTTTCATTAGAAATGGTCTTCTCAAAAAGGATTAAGTCCAGGAACTCAGTAAGTGATGCACTTTGACTAAAGGTCCACTACCCAAACGCTGTCACAAGGTTTGCCAAGTGACCGAAGGGGTTGGGCTCTTTTGGGGTGGGACAGCCATTGGTGCTGGGAATGGTGAACTCCACTCTGTCTGGAATGGCTGCGTGGATTTGGGTGTGTTTTTGCAACCATTGGACAAAAAGTCGGAACCGCCACCCCTTTGTGTGGGCCCAGTTAGGGTCTGTCGTTTTGCCGAGGGCACCTCTTTTTTGTGGTTTTCAAGGAACGAAAGGACAACCATGCCGCCATTTGAGCGTGGGTCCATGTCCCTTTTATGAGACACCCAGTTGGGCGTTGATCAAAAGGTCCTTTACATGAGATGACCATCGGGGGAAACCACTAAAAAGCATATATTTTTTTCCTACTAAACGGGAAAACGCTCCCCATGGTCAAAACTGGGAGGCCCTAAATGGAATATTGATATCACCCCCCCATTTTCGGCGTTCCATTGGAATCCACGGAGCCGTGTCTGTCTCTCGGATGGATCTCGCCTGCTTCCGCCAGCCGTTGCTCAGCTCTTGGGACAGCAGCTTGAGAGACTGCAAGGACTCCGAGCCTCGCACGAGTCGGCGAGTCCGCGGGAGGTCCGAAACCCCACCCCCCGCGTTCAGAGAGCACCCCCCCAGCCATAGGCAAACCCAGGGCCATCTATTTTTCTAGCAAAACAACCAAAACGGACACCTATGCCAGCATTTGGGCCCCACATGCTGATGTTTGGACACAACCCCTGGTGAACATCAAAATAGGTGGCAAATGGATGTTCATCCACCCCAGCCATAGGATCGCCATAGTTTATGCCACGAGATTTAGGACATGCCATTGGCCCAAGGAAACTCACCCTGGGACCAAAAGGTGACCTAAACCACCCAAACTGGACATGCTGCGTTGGCTTTCCATGGAACTGAGTTGAATCACAGCCGCCACAAAGAGCCACTTTGAACGCTTCGAAAGACCTGAACGGGGCTGCGTGGACTTTGATTAGTTGGGTTATCCAGGTTTTTTTTGTAAGAATAGTAGTAATTGAATAATCAGAATGATACTAATGATAATACTACTAAATATAATAAATAGCGAAACCATATTAACTAAACAATATGCAACAAATGATACATAATCAACAATACTAACAATGTGATTAAAATAATGATGCCAATAAACAATATTGATAATAATAATGTTGATAGATAAAACAAACAACAAATAAACAAACAAAACAGACAACGGAGCTCCGAGCTCCATCGAACGTTAGGTCGAGCAGCGGCATGAGTTCAGCAGCAGCCAGGATGGCACGTCCAAGATGAGCTGGTTGCGGCACCTGAGAAGTGCAACCAGTGGACCCAAAAGTCTAGGGCGTATTCCCCATTCTTTTCAGCCATCGTTCTTTTCAAAACCGATCACTGTTTCCCCGGGTTTTTTGGTGGTTTTCCAGAGAGAAGGATCGCTGGAAAGAATGGGGAAGTTACCCCTAGAAAAAGGTGATATCCTCACTTCAGATCGAGTGGATGGGCCAAAAAGGTCACACTTCTGATTTTACAAATTTTCCAAATCCAACACGTGACCAATGTCCAGGAACTCAGGAAGTGAGTATCACCTTTCCCCCCCCCCCCCCAAAAAAAAAAAATAAGAAGAAAGACAGAAGGGAACCAACCAGTCCCAGGTGACATGGGGGAACAACCGAAAAAGGTCCTTCGAGGCCCAAAGGGGTTTCGGGGCAGTCAGAGGTGCGATCCTCTCAGCTTTTGGGGCCACTGGAGCGGGGAATCTGTTGATTTTCCTTGTCCATTTGCCGCTGGGATTCTTCTTGGGTGGTGGTATGACTGAAAGGTCTAGGGATTGATTTGTCCTTTTCCGAATTCTTTTCAAGCGGAGACTCTGTTCAAAAACCGATCGCTGTTTCGAAACAACCAGGGTTTTGAAGGCGGCTTTTTAGCAAGGATGCCTGGAAAGAATGGAAATGGAAGGTGCCCCTAGCGGAAACTGCAAAAGGTCGATCCAAATTGGACAGAGGCACTTCTCCGCCAGGTCTTCCCCGATCCGCACCTGCACCTGCCCAGCTTAAGACGTGCGACGGAATCCTCTCCAGCACCCGTGTTCTCAAGCAGTAGCTTTTTAGACAGTGGGGGTGGGGGGAAGGGGGTGGGGGGAAGGGGGTAGGGGGAAGGGGGTGGGGGGAAGGGGATGGGGGGGAGAGGAGTTGAGACATGGGACAAAACAGTTGTTGGGGGTGCTGGCTCATACAGTATCTTTGCTCTTGAGGGTCAAGGGCCGAAAAAATAAATAAATAAATAATCCCCTGAGACGGAAAGTCGAGTGCGGCGAGACGATTCATAAAGCACAAGTGAAAATCAGGTGCATCCTTCGTACCCGAAGCTGGAGTCGAGAAAGCACCACTGGCCATTGCAATGATCCATCCCGCCAAGAGGGATCAAAAAAGGACCGCTGACGGCCGCCCAACTTAATCCCTGATCTGCCGGCCGAGAAAACGAAACCCACGCATTCTGGTGGGTTCAACCTTAAAGAAGACAGACCCTATATATATATATTATATATATATACATACTATATATGATGCGAATGCCTCCGCCAAGAAGTCCGACCGTGCCTCCGGAATGACGCAGAGATGGATGGTTTGGCCTTTGCCAACCTGTCAGACATCAAGGCCGTGGAATGTTCGATCCGAAACGCGGGCGACAGATGGCACAACCCTCTGAACTCCAAAAAAAGAACTGGGGAGCCCTGCTAAAAGTCGACCACCTTTGGTGGGTGAGCCCAGCCACGAAACCAACCCAAAAAACTGCGGGAACCGGATGGCCTTCGGAACATTTTTCCATCTACCTTCAGAGTTTCGCCCATCCGCTTGGCTTCCCGAAAACACAAAGGAGCCCTCAAAAAGGAACGTACCTACATGCATGGGTAGGGCTTTTAACTGACCCAATGGTGGACATCATTTATGGCGGTCTTTTTCCACCATCTTTGAAGGTAAAAGCAAAACAAAAACGAATTCATGTTCGTCCATATAGTAGACAAATTCATGTGAGCGTCCAAACCACACAGTCCAGAACGTTGACCCAACAATTTGACCCACTAGGAGGGTAAACTGCTATCTTTGTTTGCAGACATGGAGTGTTTTGGAATTGTCAAAGGGTACTTTGAATTTATACTCACATTGTCACTCTATTGCAAACCCTGATCAATCCTGATTCAGGAACATCCGAATATGTTCCACGTAATCCCATTTGCAAAAAACATGGTGAATCTTCACCCTATCCCAAGACGTGACCAGTTTCAGGACCCAAAAGACCCCAAAAGAGTCTCATGAGTGAAGATGTCACTTGCTTAGTCGCATAGAAACGTCCGTTTTGGTTGAGAAAATAGCATGGGTTTCCCTGGTAGCTGATTGAACCACCAGGTAAACCAGGGATCGCCCGACCCATTTTTCAACCCAATCAAACAAAAGGACGAGCCCTATGCTTAGTCGGTGGTTTGAAACCAAAAACCTAGCCCTATAGCCACAAATGGTTTTGTGGACCATTGAGCGAGTCAACCGCTGGGTAAAAAGGAAAATCCGCTTTGGTGAATTCGGGAGCGCTGGAGGTCTGCACACCCCTGCCTTTCTCATGCGGAAGGCGCCCTGGGCGTAATCCCGGAAGTTCATGTCCTCGCAGGTTGGTCTTCGGGAGAACCCCCTTCAAATGGTTGACTTCCTTTTGGTGTCCATTCCAATACCAACTGAAAGGAATGAGCCATTTTGCGCAAATCCCATTTGAGGCGCCCCCAAGCAAAACAAAGAAACGTCTTGCTTGCTTGATTTGCTTCCTTCCGCGGCTTCTGTGCGGTCGTGCTCGGGCGTTTTTAGGGGTTGAGATTCATTGGGCCTAAGCTCACTTCTGATCTGAGTGGATTGGCCAGAAGAAGTGCGGCACTAACATTATGTTAACCCCATATCAATCAACCTCAGTTTAGTGACAGGGGGTGGGTTTTGGCCCCTCCAAAAGTGGTCTGCTTCTAAACACAGTTCGCCCAGGGACGCCCCCCTATGAAATTCACTGGGGTCGATTAATATGGGGTCAACGTTGCTTCACAAAAGGTAAAGCAACAAGACTGGGGATGTGAGTGAGAATGGCACGTGTTCTGAAGCTCGAAGGCTCGAAGGTGCAAGGATCAATGTCAAGGCCCGGAGAAGGCTGCCCAACACGAAGAATTGCGCAAACTCTCCAGCTGAAAGATATTGCTATACAACCATCTGCCCAGAATCCAACCCCCAATGCGAGTTTCAATGTTTCGGGGGGGTCGGAGAGAGGGCTAGGGCTTCGAGTATTGTACATGGGGGATCCCTCAGGAAACCATGAATTTGGTGAAATGCAAAGGTCGCATACATCACCCGAACTGTGGATGAGGGGCCAACCCCTTGTTTAAGCTTCTAAAACGAAAAACTCATTGGGCTCCCCTTTAAGGGGACCAGGGCTTGGTGGTCTAAACATCTCCTGCTTAATTCTGATGGATTGACTCCCACATTGCCTTGTTCAGGCTACCCCTGTGGGATGACTTGAAAGGGAAGCCGAAACCAAAACCACAGTTTTGAGGTCTTGCATCTTGAGAAGCACACAACAAATCCTGGGCCAAGCTTCAGAAACACTAAGCCCAAGAGGACACTTCCCGAGCCAGGAGACCCCACACAGCCGCGGGACGAGCAAAACGAGCCTCATCAAGCATACCTCTCTTTGTTGGTTGGTCTTCCGTTAGTTTTCTTTGCCTTTATCTTCTTCTAAATGGTTCATTTGGTGTTCCTTTGGTTTCTGTTAAAACTACCAATAAGGTTCTACAACAACACAGACATGGCCCTGTCTCGAAAACTAGGCGCCCCCCCCAAAAAAAAGGCTGTTCCTTTCAATCAACCCCCGAAAACAGAAGGGGGGGCTTCATTCAAGCCAGCAGTTTAGAGGTTGCAGGCGGGCTACTCTGTGGGGCTGGGAGGTTCATTGCTCCGCTCTCACGTGAGCCGAATCGGTGGCTCGGAGGTGTGTGGCTCCCCATCTGCCCAGAAGAACCAGGGCTGCACATCCAAATCCAAACCACCAATCAAGGCCTACCCGAGGGCCTAC